TCTGTTGTCGCCTCTCACATTACAAAAATTAAGATTTGCATTTTTAGGATTTTATCAAGTGCTGGTAAATGCAATTTAATTCCACTATAGTGAGTCACTTTCAAATTAAGCATTCTGTTGGTCAACATGCCGCATTTGCGAGAAAAAACAGATATGAATTCTCTGTGGGGGAATGTTTCAGCCTTACGGTATATATATATATATTCTTTATTTCCATGACTTTTCCAGTTTTGGGTAAAAAAAAAAATCAATCACATTTACTGTTTCTAAGAAAAAAATCACAGGCAAAATCCAGTAATTTCCATACGATCTGAAATTTACCGTAAGGCTGAAACATTCCCCCACACAGAATTCATATCTGTTTTTCTCGCAAATGCGGCATGTTGACCAACAGAATGCTTATATATATATATATATATATATATATATATATATATATAATTCATTCTTTCCCAGTCTTGGGTAAAAAAAAAAACTATTGGAACTACCATCACAGCCTATATTCATAATTAAAGAACTCTCACACTGAACCTGACGTCCTGACCACACTGTTTTTTTTTTGTGCTGCTGGCAAACACAATTTAATTCACTATCATGAATCACTTTCTAACCAAGCAGCATTCTGTTGGTCAATGTGTGAAATACTTGAACTCGATGCAAAATCTGCATGGGGAAATGTTTCGCCCTTGTGCAATTCCTTATCGTGTGGATTCCTTTTGAAATTACAGGATTTTGCCGATGAAATGTTGTCAAATAAAGGTAAATGTGACCACAAAAGACATATTTTGAAGAATGTTGGGAACAAAACAGTTTCTGTTCTCAGTGACCTATGTATACAGTGGGTACGGAAAGTATTCAGATCCCCTTAAATTTTTCACTCTTTGTTATATTGCAGCCATTTGCTAAAATCATTTAAGTTAATTTTTTTTCCTCATTAATGTACACACAGCACCCCATATTGACAGAAAAACACAGAATTGTTGACATTTTTGCAGATTTATTAAAAAAGAAAAACTGAAATATCACATGGTCCTAAGTATTCAGACCCTTTGCTCAGTATTTAGTAGAAGCACCCTTTTGATCTAATACAGCCATGAGTCTTTTTGGGAAAGATGCAACAAGTTTTTCACACCTGGATTTGGGGATCCTCTGCCATTCCTCCTTGCAGATCCTCTCCAGTTCTGTCAGGTTGGATGGTAAACGTTGGTGGACAGCCATTTTTAGGTCTCTCCAGAGATGCTCAATTGGGTTTAAGTCAGGGCTCTGGCTGGGCCATTCAAGAACAATCAGATGCTCAGAAGAAATGGACAGCACCTGAGTTAAATATTTGAGTGTCACAGCAAAGGGTCTGAATACTTAGGACCATGTGATATTTCAGTTTTTCTTTTTTAATAAATCTGCAAAAATGTCAACAATTCTGTGTTTTTCTGTCAATATGGGGTGCTGTGTGTACATTAATGAGGGAAAAAAATTAACTTAAATGATTTTAGCAAATGGCTGCAATATAACAAAGAGTGAAAAATTTAAGGGGGTCTGAATACTTTCCGTACCCACTGTACATGTGTCAACAACATATAAAAGGTACAATGGTTGGTAGCCCCTTTAATGACTGTTGTTATGAATTAACTTGTATCCCATTGCATACATATTGTGTAGCTTTTTTAATGCAGATCTTCTCTGCAGGTATGAGACTCTGCTCCTGGAGCTAGATCCTGTATATGCTCTCAAACTGCTGGTGTCCCTCACGGAGCACAGAGTGCATACATGTTTGGAAAGATACAATGGTGCGTAAATGATTACAGAATTTTTGGGTGAACTAGCACTTCAAGTAGAGATATATATATATATATATTCACTACATATGATACATTTCTATGACTTTTTAAGGTCTCATTTATTTAAATGACAAATTTAAATTTGATGATATATCCAAGCTTCAGTGACTGTGGCATGCCTGCACAACAGTCCATTCACATTAAACTTTTTGAACAGGTTGGTGGTGTGGCCTGGCAAGTGGTGCACAAGCTCCAACATGTGGTGGAAACCTGAGTAGTCTGGCTTAAGCAATTCCCTAAATCCCTTCCTCGCACTTTTCCCTACTGTTTCCTGTCAGCTCTTCACTGACGATGAAATAAAAACTGGCGAAAGCTAATTCTGTGTGGTTTCAGTGGTCTGATCAATCTGTCAAAGCCAATCACATGCTCCCTTACTCCTTGCAAAGACTAAATAGTCAACTGAATTTTAGTCAATCAGACCATCAGTGAGACACATTTCCTCCTTCAGCTGAGACAGAGCCCATTACGAGTTTGAACTAAACATACCGGTTAGAAACTAGTTCATTATCCCCTGCTTGAGCAATAGCCAATGTACTCTAGACATAAATTCTTAATACTGATCAAATTAACACTTTAGAGAAGCCATTCAGCACTACTCTCTTAACAGCACATATATTTGCTTTCGTCTGCACTAAGCCAAGAGTGGCCAAGGTTCTCGATAATTGGAAAGTTTGAACTACTATCACAACCAATAATAAAAGAACACCAATGCTCGCACGGAACCTGCTAATGTCCCTCATTTGCAATCTCATTTCGCCTGGAACCCATCAAGAGAAGGTCTGCATTTTTTTAGGACTTTATCAAGTGCTGGCAAACGCAATTTAATTTCACTATTGTGAGTGGAAATAGCTCTTTGCAGGCGGGGGGGGGGGGGGGGGGCGG